AAACGAAGGTGCTGATGTTACTGCCACTATAGCAATAAAACAAAAGAACACAAAATTAATATCAACTAGCAGAATACCGAGTTTTCTTTGTCCTCAGAATGGAATTAGAAAAAGCAGAGCAAGCATAAATGAAATTATGGCTTATGTAAGTGGTTCCTCATTTTTTGTACTCTTCTGGCTTTAACTTCCCTAAGGAGACAGAGTTGATTTTAAGGGCTATACTGCTTCTATACTGCCTTTGTAAAGAGTTATTAGAAACAGCACACTCAAAAACTGTTAAAAACTTTTTTTCCCCTCCTCTTCTAGTTCTGATCCATGACAAGTGCTGTAATGGGTTTACAGTATTTTCTACAATGGACATTTCTGCTGTTGGGGTTAGAGGAAAGAAGCTTTGAGGAAAATACAAAAACGTGATTAGAAAGCCATAGACACTGACAAGAGTCAGCACCCTTTTTTTTTTTTTTTTAAAAACAGACAAGGATTTCATTTTGGCAGTGACCACTGATACCGGTATTGGCGCCTCTACATTAACCTTGCATCTGTTGTAAATTGTTCAGGCATCTGCTTCCTTCCATGAAAACAAGATTCACTGGATTTTTGGTTTTGGAAGCAAAATTAAAACCAGACTGGGCACAGGATATATCATTACTAATTATATAATTCATTTTAACAGTCACCAGGCATTTTTCTGCTTCAGTTTCGTAATTTCCCTTTGGAAATGCAACATAAGATGCTAAATCAAAACTTGATAAGGAGATGACTAAAACATACTGCCTCTCCAGACACGTTCAGATATCAGCGATTTCATGGAGCAATTGTATGGGAATCCGTTCACTCACTTCTGTTTCAAGGATCAATTACAATTCACAATACAATGTGCAGTTCTGCCGGTGGTGTTTATCCTAATAAAGTCTTAGTATCTACAGGACTTGTTCACATTAAGTAGCTCCTTTTCATGCACTACTACTTCCTTAAGCCAGTGCAAAAAAGGAGTATGATCCAGTTTCCTCCAAAATAAACAAACTGTAACCCTGGCTTTTGTAGGAGTCAACAGCTCAGTTTATCCACAAAGCCAGGAAGGACCTGCTTGACAATTTGGTTGAATACTCTAAAGTAACACTTAAAATGCCTTGTGGCCACCTTTACTGCAAGGTGTCTGGCTGGAATAGAATTTTGTCTCTGAACAAAACCAGTAGTGCGGAGACAATATTCAGAGCAAATGGAATTAATTCAGTGTCCAAAGCCAAACACCCGTTACATTGCACTGTCCTGCTGGCTCTCTACATGACCTTTCCAAAAGTTGCTTCACTGATGTATTTCTGTACAGATCAAATGTTCTCCTGTGTAGAGGACATTTTCCCTCTATGCCCTCCTAATTTCTTTGATAACATCACAGTCCAGAACTCGTAACGTTATTGCTCATGCCCCTAAGCAAAATTCAGATGCTTTCAGGTTTGGCAGGGTGATGGAGAGGAACTGAGCAAAGGAAATCTTAAAAAACTTAATATGATAAAAGCAGAATTAACAGTATTATCTAGCTGTACTGAATATAAAGTGGGTTATATCAACCACATCAGCAGAAACAAATGCCAACCACTCATTTTTCACCTGATAAATAAACAGGATTTGGGCGTGGTTCTTGATTTATTTTTTGCCTGGTTAGAATGATACTATTTTTGAAGGTCATACGGCATTTTCATGATCTTTTAGTCTGACCATTTGTATAACAAATCACTGAGGACCTATGAAATGTGAACTTGACAAGTTTTCAAATCAGACAGAGCAAGCTGCCAGAGCTTTGCAGCCTCTCCTACTCCACATTTCTAGATGAACCAAGTGGCCTGAATTCGCCCCTCTGGAAAAAGAAGATGATGATCTGAACACTGGCTTCCAACTCTGTGCATTGAGTCAGGCAGGAAAAATATTTACATACAAACATCCTGGTAGCTAACAGGGGAAGGAAATGAAATAGAAAGAGAACATAGTGAAAGGTTTAAATGAAGATTTAGCAATAGCCTTTCCTTGCACATTTTTAATGAACATGTCAGCAGAACTTTAAGGGATTTCAGAGAAGACTATCTGAAATTGTTCTCATTATTTCACCTTTCATACAACCTACTTAAAACCGATACAGTATGCAGGATTTGTAAGACTCACTTGGACTTCTTGGATCATTAATACATAAAATAATGGCATTTCTTCAGGAACTATTAAAAGCAATTAGTCAGAATTGCTTATACAGCCAAATACTCACTAAAGAATTTGGACATTTGTAATACAGACTTGTGAGGTGCCCATGGAACTACAAGCTAGTATTTTTAAATCAAGTTAGAAATACTCAGCACTATTTTCAATATTCTCTTTTGTGAATGGCACCATGGGAGCACGAGATTGCAACACAAATCCTCACCCTCAGCAGTCCCTCACTCTCCAGAGCATCTCGCTGCTACCCCGTACAAGGACGGCTGCCAGACGCCCACCCACGGTAGTGGGTGCCACC